TGACCATGTGAGTTTATCACATAGCTTCAGGGCCCCTGCACTTTAGCACCATTCGCCCCTTAGATCAATATGTTGGATCAATGTATGTTTTGTTTGTACGATATATCAACACTTGAGGCATGGGCTGAAAGCAGCCCCTACTGCTCCTTCTCCACTGAAACAGTCGAAGCAATCCAAATCCTTGGTGTTCCCCACTTAATCGCTGTGATCAACTTATCAAACCGCTTTCTCATGAGCCAAAACCAGGGGTCTGACACGACTATGTGTCTTGTAGCTGCTCGCCGCCACGAAGTCGCAGAGATCGATCCTTTCGCGCGCAAAGGTCGTAAGTGAGTCATAGATTTGAAAGATGCTATGGCCAAAGAGTGGACATGAAAACTCTGGGAGCCCTGACAAAGTACGTGGTGCACCGAGGTGCAAAAGCATTGCAGCAGAGCAAACCGTGAGCGCCAGCTCAGAGGTTCGCCAACGCTGAACCATATTGAATGGGCAAAGTTTTTCCTTCAGGTCTATGGTTCACTTGTTTGAGCAATAAGTCACCTTTCATGAGCAGTTGAATTGTGGTGCAGCAAAAGGCTCACTTATCAAAGACTCGACTAACAAATGTTCACATGTTTTTTGGTCACGACCGACACACTGCTTCTAAGCCGGTTTCAAACCCCGTTAGGCTGATCCTTTGGATCTGTTACCCCTGGGCTACCACTCCTTTCCTTTGAACTAGCAAATGATTCTTTTGATGACTTTCTCATAAGCTCTAAGTTTAGTGTCTAAGATAGCCCACAGATTGCCACACCGCTTCCGGATGCGGCACTCACTCAAAATAGAGTAGATCAGAATTTGATCCACTTTGCCAACCGCCGAGCATAGTCCCACCTCAAGCCAAAAATATAGAATGGAATCACGAGTTAAAAGGTATGTGATCGATGAGTTCTGGACGCTTGTGACACACCACCATGTGGTCCCCAGGATACCGTAACACCACCTCCTGAGTTCGCCTGACAGGTCTACGATTGAGGTGGTGAAGTGTGGCAATGAAAAGGCGGCCTTAAACTGTTTCGAGAACTGCTCATTCACGGCTTGCACCGTCGAGTCGTCGATGCTGTTGACGTAAAAACCACCGGTAAGCCTCGCGGGGACCGTGGATCGATAAACATGTTTTACACACTGACTGTCTGGGTGTTCCACAAGACTTGGATCGACGAGCAGTCTTCCCCTCCAGCTTCCGTCAACATAGATGGCGGCTCAATGGTCCATGACCTCAAACATGAAACTCATAGTTTCATTATTGTATTGCAAAAATCTTGAGGATGAAACATAACAGCTTTTAGCTTCTCTTCATCGGGAACAATCTTGAACATGTTGCTGGCACCCTGTGCCGCCAGCAAAGTAATCTCCTCCAGGCATTTCATCTTCTTCTCCTGTGCCAGATGTTAGAGATGAAGGCCGGTGGGATTCGAGAAACAACCGGCCTCTCGACTCTTCTGACGCTTTTGTTTGGCTTCTTCGGGATCCTGCAAAGGTGTGTTTGTTTTCATTTATATAGTATAGAAAAAAGTAGAACAACCGGGTCCTTCTGCTTTCTTTTGGCTGGAATCTTTTTATCTTCCTCCTTTGTATTCTCACCGGGCTTTTCAGGGTCCTCGGGTGACGACGGAGTCTCTTTCTCTTCCTTGGAGGGCTCACCATTGGGCGTTTCTTCGTTCTGTGCCTTGTTCTTTTTATCTCTGCTTGAGCCAGCATTGGCTTTGGAAGCCTTGGCACGTTTGGGTTGACGTTCAGTTTCTGCCTCCAGATCACGTTCCCGCTTCATTTCCTCATCTTTAGACTCCAACTTATCATCAAGGCCAATAGGACCCTCCTCTTCTTTTTCTGGTGCGTTTCTTTTCTTGCCTTTTCCTTTTCCTCTGCCTCTGCCCTTTCCCTTTTTGGACTGCTTTTCTTCCGCTGCTTGCGCTTTTGCCTTTCTGAGTGCATCTCTTAAAGCAGCTTGTTCTTTCAAGATGTCCTTCATTCTTTCATTTTCATCTTCCAGCGGTAATGGCAAGAGGGGAGGAGTGACCTTCAAGAAAGGCCTGGTGTCAGCAAATGCTGCTGAAGCCTCTGGCTGGCCCTCAGCATCAAACTCTTCTTCCACGTTTGCTTTGGTTTCTGCGGCTGCCCTTCGCTTGTCGTCCAAATATTTCCGACACGCCTTCTCCTCTTCATGCAATTCCTCTTCTAGTAGTTTTTTTGTCTCTTCACTCTTGGCTTTCTTCTCATTGTTTCTTGCATTGTCCCGCACTTCCCGCATCCATTGTTTTCTTTCTTCTGCCGTCTTCGATTCCAGAGCTGCCTTCAGTTGTGCAAATCTGCTCAACGTTTCCTGCTCCACTCGCTTCTCAATCTCTTCAGCCTCTGCTTTCCTTTGCTCCTCAAACTTTTTAAGTTCTTCCTGAACCCGTCTCTGAACCTCTAGCTCTCGCTGCGATTCTTCTGCCTTCTTGTGCTCCTTCTTTTTTGCAGCCTTCTGCTCTTCTTCAGCCTTCTTCAGTTCCTCAGCCTTCTTCAGTTCCTCAGCTTTCTTTTGTTCCTCAGCCTT